TGTGTGTGTGTGTGTGTGTGTGTGTGTGTACATGCGCGTGCGTGAACCACTTCTGCAGACAATTCCTTTTGTAACTGCTGAATCTAAAAAAATGTGACGGAAACAAAATTATCCCATGCTGTACACAAAGGCCAGACAAGGGACTGAAGCAAAAGTAATAATTGTTTTTTCGCTTACATTCCTTTAAAGAGTCTTTCTTTACCTACAAGAATTTAAAAATGCCCAATATCTTCTATGGCAAACCGTCTTTTATGGTTTGACTCATCAAGGTTTTTTTTGGGAATTTTTTCGAAATATGTCTAAATTTCGGATAAACCGCACTGAACGAAAAAAGGAAATCCTGAAGCCTCCCTACCAAGTTAAGTCTCAGATTCACAACCAAGAGCCTTGTTATGTGGACAAAATGACTGAAATAAGGAAAGGTTTAAGTTTTCTGAGAGCCACCTTCTCCCAAACAAAGTGGGAAAATTATCAAGAAATGTCAGTTTACGTCAGCAGCCTCCTAGAAACAAGGAAAAACAACAACAACAAAAACAAACAAAAACAAAACAGAAACACAACAAGACAAAACAAACAACAAAATAAAACAAAAAAACTTCAAACAGCATCCCCCCCTCCCAGACAAAACAAATAAGCCCCCCCAAAAACAAACAAACAAACCCCAACAACCCACAACAAGACAGAAAACACAGCCAAAATTGAAAACTAATAAAACTCGGCCCCCTAAAAAGAATAATCAGCAAATACAACAATTTTTGCAAGGGCGCAAATTGTAACAGAAGAGAAACTCAAGGCAGCCAGCATTTCCAGCTGTAAATTTAAGCCTTAAAATGTAATCTCTTATATGTTACTTAACGTAAAGAAAGCTCAACTTCACACGACTACATTTTAGTCACAGGATCACCTTTACCATCATGTGGAAAGGGGCACCCTGGGATTGGTTAAGGATTAAGCAGACTGGAGAAAGGGGCAAGGATTTGGGGGAGAGATAGCCTACTTCAGAAAATGCTTTTTCATAAAAAAACAACCCCATACCAAATCAACCCCCCAAAAAAAAAACAACAACAACCAACA